ACAGACGTACGAAGATCTGTTTGTCTGTCTGTTTGCCGTCTCGCTCACACACACAAAAACCAACACCTGCAGGAAAGCGGGCCCAGCATCCATAAGCATACCAAAACAGGGAATGTGGGGGTTCCTGCCAGCATTGATTACCCTGGAGTCTAGGGGATTGACTGAGCAGGATAATGGAGGGAGGGGGGATCCTATTCACCACGAAGCCGGCACCTGGTACCTGCTGTTGCATACTAGTACCTCCCTCCCCCTACTAGTGATTACTCTGAATCCCACAGTATGGCGAAGTAGGACACCTGGTCCCCCTTTTTGTAAGGTGCAAGTTAATGAGATAGTTCTTGCTGGGAGCCGGGCCCAGCAACTGGGTGCACTAGGTAGGTGATGTAGATGATGGTGCTGCTGCAGGTGAGATGCCAAAGCTGATGATGACCGCTGATCTCTGAGCTCCTTATTCCCGCCCGAACCATCTCGTATCTACTATTGCTGTGTCTGCAGGGGGGAACATATCAGGAAAGTCCCCTGGACTCCTCATTGGGATCTCCGGGTTGACTTGCAGCCATTCGTGAAACTGAGGTTTGCTGTTTTTGGTGAATTCGTTGCTTTCCTTTTCATTCCCGCTTTCCCCGTGGCAACAGATGTGTGCTAACCTGCCTCCCTTTTCCCCTCCCAGCCAGTCTGCACAAAATTTACTAATTGCTTTTGTAATATCTGTTTTCTGTGTTAAATGATTTAGCTTTTCATGTACGTGGTTCCACTGGACTCTTATTTTTGTTTCTATGAAGTGTTTAACTATCTCTCCTGCTTCCCCTTCTCCCATCCTCGCCCCTTCCTGATCAAACACACATCTCCTTGTCCATCCATCTTATGTGTGTGTGTGACACTGTATTTCCAATTCAACTTGGTTTTGGCATTTTGCATCTCTTCTCTTCTTCTGTGTGTGTGACACTGTATTTGTAGCTTGTGTGCATGCGTGTTTGACAGTTTGAGTGCTTTCCGTCCTGTTCAGGTAGTTGGTGGCATTGCTCATGCCTGCGTTGGTGAATTCCTAGGGAGTGATAGTACAAGCCACTGCTGCCCATGAATGCCCATTGGTTTCAAGCTTTGGGAAGAAGTTTAGTTTAGGCTGCATCTGATCTTCACCCTTTTTTTGTGTGTGGGGTTGGGGGGGGGGGGCAAGTACTTTGATGTCACTTTTGAGTTCCGAATGCGCCAAACAACAGGCAAGTGGGTTTATGTCACAACAGAGTTTCAAATGGGCAAAAAAGGCACGCACGGGCAGAAAGAACAGCCGCGAAACTCGAAAGGGAAATGACAGTACGGCGGCCGTGGTGTAGGACATGAAGGGGAAAACAAAAAAATGGCCCGACAGATTTCGACTGCCAGTCGAAGGACAGCCTGGCGAGACTGCCTGCGCATGAGAATGGAGGAGAAAGATCCACCCCATTAAGCACGGGCGGACCAAAAGTCTCAAAAATTTGAGGCATTTGGTTCGGCTTTTTTGAGGCATTTGGTCCCCGCGTGGTCACACGGGCGGACCTCGTCCGGAAAGGACCAAGTCAYGACCCTGACACTTTGCATTCAGGGCAAGTGCGCCCGGTCACACGGGGGAGGACCAAACAAAAAGATAAGATTTGATTTTTTTTGTTTTGCACCCAGTATAACGCGTGGGCCTTCTCTACAACGTAAATGTTTCTGGTCGCACTTCCAGTTGTTTGGCAGGCTGTCTTCTTTGTCTACGATTTCCTTCACTTCACAAAAAAAAAAAACAAAAAAAACGAAAGGTAATTTGAGACCACATCTGGAGGTGGTCTCAAAAAGGGTCCACCCGCGGCCCTGCTGACATTAGGGTCACCCGGTCACCGTTTGAGGCATTTGGGTGACCCGAAAAATAACGCAAATTTTGGGATTTTGGGTCTTTTGGTCCTCGTGTGAGTATGCCCTGAGTCTCCGCTACGCATGCATACAAGTCGACTCCAACCAACCCCAAAACAAAGCAATACACAAGAAAAGCAATGGAGTCCAAACTTTGGAAAACCATGGTCTATGATCAATAGAGATATTCATACAAACGCCAAAACGCCCTGTTCTTGTTTTTTATATTATTTTGAAGAATGGAACTTGGGGAGGGGGGGAGAAGAAGGCCTCTTCTCATTGGCCGCAACCTCAAAATGGCTAAAAGATTTGTGTACACATAGGGGCTCGTTTTGACTGGGAATTTCTTTTTCCCGCTTAAACCCCCAGGGGCCGCGTTCAAACGCGTTCAGGTCACCAAACAGTCCAAACTCGCTCAAACCTCCTCCGCCCCCAGGGGGCGTGTTCAAACCCCCAGGGGGCGCGTTCAAACCCCCGGGGGCGCTTTCAAACCCCCAGGGGCCGCGTTCAAACGTGCTGCGCGCCGGTTGACGCGGAAAAATTGAACGCGACCCCGCGGCCCGCGCGCGCGCATCCCGGCCTACGGGGTGGTGGCCTTCGTTCAACAACCCCCCGGTATGGAAAAAAAAAGCCTCCCCCGGGGACCCCCCCCCAGGTCCGCCCCCGCCATTGCCCCCCCCCCAGCCACCTCCCAGGCCACCGACCCGCGGCACCCGACCGCACACAAACCCACGCACGCACACACACCCACACACACACACACACACCTGTCTCTTATACACATCTAGATGTGTATAAGAGACAGGGGGTCCAGGCTACAGCGGGCCCTAAAACAAAAAAAACAAAACAAAAAAAAAAAAGGGTACTTGCCCGTGCTTCGCGTTGCCGGGCTACATAAGTAGCAGCACCGTTCGCACGGGGC